CCCCGCCTCGAGTCACAGGAATCCTGCCCTGTGGTCCTCCTGTTGGATGCTGGAAGCTTTTAAAAGCCCCAACCACCAGGCCACAATTTAGAGCATCTCATTCAGAATCTGAGGAGTAATTTCACAGCTCCCACAGGAATGCAATGCATAGCCCAGATGCAAAAAGGAAGAATCAATCTAACTTGATGTGAGTGAGCAGAGATATAAGACAGTCCAGGTGCCAGACGGTCACGTTTAGGTACATCCTACACAGTTAGACCTGCCTGTCTCTCTCCCAACCACCCCCATTCTGAATTCCTAGGAGAGGATCAGCCCAACTACCTCAATTCCTTCAAGCAACAGCCTCACTCTAGACAATGCGGGAGCCCAGGAAAGGTAAACTGAGAGGTCTCAAAGCAGAAAAGCCCTGGTGCCCTGGTGCCAAGGGAAGTCAAGAAGTTTCTGCATCTGGGCCATCTTCTCTGATTCGCTGTGACCTCCGATGAGGGACTGCCCCACTCTATGTCTGTGAAATGCAATGTAGGCCCAGGGTGTCTTAAGGGTCCTTTAAGTGCTAACACCAAGTTTGTACTTCACTAAGTAGACATTTCTGTCTGACTTCCAAGGAACTTGAGGCTGTAAGGATTCAGGGAGTGCCAGGTTTTCTGCTCACCAGATGTCCCATCCTTCTAGACCTAAATTTTACACTCCTGGGAGGAGTGGGGATCCTACACTGGCTGCCAAGGACAGAGAATGTGAGGCCCTAAACCAAAACACAAAAAAAGAGCAAAACAAAAACCCCCAAGGATATTGAAGAACGAAGTGTGAGTGAAGGTATTTTGAGATGGTGAATAAAGTCCAGGCAGAGAGGTCCAGGACGCTTGATAGGCCCCAGCTCTGTCCTTCAATTGGTAAACAATGGTGAAGGTGTTTCAAGGGACCAGAAATTCACGAGAAAGAACTTCATCAGAGGAATCATTCAAGGAACAAGTTCAAAGGGACTGTGGCAGGGATTGCTGGCTTCTGGCCATCAGCACAGCCAAGGCCTTCATACACAACTAACAGCTTTTATTGGGGAAGGGAAAGTGACTGAAAGTGGCCTCCAATATCCTCATTGCCTAAGGCAGCTGGGGCCTCCTCCAGAGTCCAGGAAAACAAGGGCCACCAAACCCGGCCCCAGCAAATTCAGGTATAGAGGTCAAAATCAATACGTTTGGAGTTGTAGAACTGTCCACCGGGGGGGTCCAGCTTCCGACAATAAACACCATCCGGAAAGTAGCCTTCATTCACCCAGGTCTGCAAGAAAGAAGGCAGAGTTCAGGGCTCAGCTCCCAAAGGAGTGGAGGGGGAGAAGAGGCAGGCTGAAGGAGGAAGGCGCTTACCTGCATCTGCGTGCTGGTGAAGGGCCCATACAGCTCAGCGTCCCCTGTGTTCTCCCACTTGTATTCCCACATCACGTCCACCAGACCGTCTCCTGGAGACTCTGCTTCTGCAGTAACAGGCAAAGCCATCAGGGCCTCAAGTGCCCTGCCCTGCCCTGCCCTGCCCGTAACAGCCCTCCTCTTCCCTTCAATCTTACCTCCTCTCTGGGTAGGAGTTGGGGTCTGCAGCTCCCCCTCTGTCACTTCCTCAGCAAACATGTCCAGAGAGGGTGGGGGTGTGGGATCAGGGGCTCCCTGGGTCCGGCACCCCAACCCCTTCAGCCGCATGGCTAACCGTTCCCTTGTCTCCTGATATACGCCAAGGTTGCCCCGGGCCACCATCTGGTCAGCCAACCCGGAGAGCCGGTCCAGGCGCTGGGGGGAACTGGGCCGCCCAGGCCCCTTGCTGCCCTGTTTACCTCCTCCTCGGGCCCCCAGACGCCTCAGTGCCCCAGCCACTGTCTCTCTTGGCAACAGAATCTCCAGAAGGCCCTCCAGAAGGGCTTGGGGACTCATTGGTGTCTGGCCCACGCTCTCCTCTTCCTCTGAGTCTGACTGTGGGCGCTGATCAGGAGGCCGCTCCTTGATCTTCACCTATAATGGGAAAAGAGAGATTCATCTTCTATACACTGCCAGCAAGACCCGTACCCAGTACCTGCAGCCTCCAGGCCCCCGCCATGCCACCCCTGGGCCTCACCCAGTCAATATTGTCCAGCCAGCTGTCTCGGATCTGAGAATCCCTGTTCAGGAAGTAGTTGCCATCAGCATCAAAGTGGCCCTCCTCCATTTCTTCCTGCAGGTTGAAGGGAGTGATCCGCACACCTCCCTCACTGGGAAGTGTGGCTGCTTCCTGACCTATACCAAAGACACAGAGACCCCATGCCAGGCATGTGTAAAAAGGCACAGGGGCCCCCATGCCCCAAGTCCCCAGAAGTCCATCTACATTTCCAGTAGAGTCAATTCTTGGGTATAGCTCACCTTCCACATCCTCTGAGGCCAGGATATCATATTTTCTGGACCCCTCATCATCATCATCCTCCTCGTCGCTGTCCAAAGAGTGTTTGCCTTTGAAGCGGCTCCCAGGGCCCCCTACCCCAACCACAGGGTCTATGAGCTGTGAACAGGAGCCAGCAAGGCAAGAGATGTGGGTTACTGCTATTCCCACCAACTTTTCTAGATTCAACCTGAAAATCCTCCAAACCCATTTCTCAGACAACACGGAAAAGCCAGTCCTTTTCACTCTTGTACTCCCAGTTTTCTTCCTCTTCTGGCTTCTAGCTCCTCTTTTTTCCCCTCAGTCCTCCCGAGAATGAAGAGCCCCATTCACCTTCTTCTTGGGAACACTGGCTTCATCCTCATCCTCATCGCCCACGCCTTGGAAGGTCACTTTCCTCTTTGGCATGACTGATCAGAGGGACCTTCCCCAAGCTGAGAGAAAGGGGGAAATTATGGGAAGTGGGTAAGGATACTCACCACAAGTGGGTCCCCAGCACAGCCAATGTTTCACCTGGTACGTACTACATCCAGTTTAGGTGAGGGAGCATAGAATTAGGGCCTGAAAAGGAGGTTGACAGCCAGGCGGCCCCCACGATTTAGCATGGCACCCCAATGAGTTGTTGGCGCAGGAACGGACAGGCGAGTTCACGGAGGCTCTCCTGAGGGCACCCCTACCCTCGATGAAGGTACCCATCCCCGGTCCCCGCAATCCTGGGCGCGACGGGGTTCAGCGGGCTGACACCGCTCTTCCACCCAGCGCTCCCCCAGAACCTACGAGGCCCGGGCGAGGATGGCGCCCTGGCCACCCCGCTCCTCCCTGCACCAAACTCCCAACTCCGCGGGGTAGGCCCAACTGCCCCGGGGTTTGTGTACAAATCAAAGAGGCGGCAGTGGCACTGGGTCCCGGGAAGCCTCAGCGGCGCGCGCTCACCCAAAGATCCACTGGAGGCGGGGGAAGAAAAAGAAAGATGCTTTCACAGGGCCACATCCGGGGCACCCAGGTGCCATTACCCGGAAGAGAACTGCAAAGTGCAGGGGAAAGCCGGAAGTGGCTTCACTCGGCTTAGAGGACTAACTGGAAGAGCGGGCGGAAGTACGCGCTGGGCGGGGAGACACACCCCCGCCTAGTAGTGACGTGAGCAGTGTAGGGCGACAATGGCGAGCAGAGGAGCCGTGTGGACGCCTCGACCCGGATGGGACGAGATTTGGCCGGAAGTGGTCTCGACTCCCTCAAACTGCAGTAGAGGCTGTACGGAGAAAATGGAGCGCCCTCTACTAAGAGCTCCCAAGGCCATCATGAAAGAATAAATTCCGAGCGGGGCCAGTGGTTCCCCGCTCTAGTTTCCCCCCTTTGGACTGAACCATCTTTCCCCCAGGGCCGGCCGAGAGTTCTGAGCCCCTTGCCCACCTCCCCCGCCCCCTTCTCGTTAGAAACCCTGCCTTCCCACTCGCTTTTTGCCTTCTAGCTGGAGAGGTGCAGCTTTGGAGGGGCAAGTCTGGCTTTCCTGATGAAGCGCATGAAGGCCCCTGGCGGCCCCGGGGACATTTTCCGAAGCCAGCTCCCTTTAGGACCCAGAGGAGGTCATTTACCCCAGGACGAGTTCCTGGTTTCAGAGGTAGGAAGAGCCATCGCTGGAGAGGTGGCAGTGGCACCTGTGCCTAGTAGACATCCAGAACCCTGTGCTCTGACCTCAGGTAGGCCTGGAGAAGGGCAACAGTGCCTTTCTCTGGGATCACAGCTGCAGGATCAGGCCCCCAACCTTAGGAAGCAGGGCCCCTGCCCAGGTTCCTGTTCCTAGGGGCACAGCTGAGGATCTGAGGTGGTTAGGGTCTCAGTACTAGTTCCTGAGGACATTCGAGTCTGAATCCCACTAAGCCACTGCTGTACCCTGGAACCTACTGGAGCCAAAGGAGGGCAGGATGGGGGTCCTCTCAGTAACCGAAGTTTCCCACCCTTCTCTCTCCTGCCTCTAGGGTTTCCGCGGAGATCTGAGAACGATGAAACTGCACCGGAAGTCCGTGCTCAGTTTCTTCCGCGGGTACAGAACACAGACTCCTGAAAAAGAGGGCATCTTGCTAAAGAAGGGGACCCGAAATAGCAGCTACCATCGCAGATGGTTCATCCTCCGGGGAAACCTCCTCTTCTACCTGGAGCACCAGGCAGACCGCACACCCCTAGGCCTCATCCTGTTGGAAAACTGCCAGGTGGAGCCACGCACTGGGGCTACAGAACCCTTTGCCTTTACCATCCTGACCCCAGGGGCTGAGGGCACAGAAAGTGGGCGGTTGTACAAGCTGGCAGCAGAAAACCAGGAGGAGCTGGGAGCCTGGTTGTGGGCCCTGGCTGGGGTAAGCTGGAGGCGGCTGGCTATGCTGCTACCCCAACTGGAAGCCCAGTACCGCGACCTGTGCCAGGCAGCTGGCCAAGAGCCTAGCTCACCCCCAGTGGGCTGTGGCTCCCTAGCCACCCTCAGTGCCCCCTCCAGTTTCCAGGAGTTGCATGAGCGCTTTGGGAAGGAGATCCGGGTGCTACAAGAGGTAAAGAGAGAGCTCCAGGCAGCCAGTGACAATGGAGGCAGCAGATCCCAGCAAAAGGTGGAACAGGAACTCAAAACATTGTTGATAAGTGACTAACGGACCAAAGGCCAAGAGGTGCCAACCTGCCAAGATCTGCCAAATACTTCAGTAGACACCCAGATCCTGGCTCCTCCCAGCCTTTCCCCCCTCTTTATTATACTAACCCCCCAACCCCTTCATCAAATAATAAGGCAGGAGACAGGTCCAGGTACAACAGCAGATTCTTTTCTGGTTCCTTGAAGCGACCACATGGGGTGGAGGTGGAGACAGAAGAGAATGTAAACATTGGGTTCCACCCCCTGGAGCACAAAGGGAAGACCCCTTGACCAGAGAGGGGCTGGAGGGTTCAAAGGGAGTAAGGTGGGAGGTGGTGCGCTGGTGAGACAAACAGCGAGGCCTGAGAGTAGAGAGGAAGGTGGGTGAAAAGGAAAGCCAGGACAGTGGGTAGGTAAGTGGGGACAGTTCCCATCCCAGTGTATGTCCCCTTAAATAAAGTGTAAGAACACTGTGGGAGAATCAAAGAACAGAAGATTGAGCTAGCACCCCCACCCTGGGCCAACCAGGTCCTCTGTACATAATTATCAAGAGATGTCTAGTAGAGCAGGGGACTGGGCCCCGTCAGGAAATGGGGGACAGGCAGGACTGAAGGAAAAAGGAACCCAGCTCCACTTCATGGGAAAGGATAGCGACTGGAGTGTAAGGATCTGAAAACTGCTGATTCCCACAGCCATCACTCATCCCTGCGGCAACAAAAGGCCAATCAGGACAGTATCTGGGAAGGAACCCCAGGGAATAGGGACAGGACAGAGACCCTCTGCTGAACCTGACGGGAGGGGCTGCAGACTTGTTCCTAGCTGCCCTGGGAACGCAGCTGGCCCGTGACACACTGACTCTCCTGGCTGTGCAGGGATCCGCAGCTGGCAAGGAGACGGGGATCGAGCCACTTTCCTCAGAAAGGGAGAGCCTGCCAAGGGGGTGGGGCCGCACCCCAAGCCAGACTTGCTCTTAGCTGAGGGAACAGGGGAGCGGGGTGATACAGTCCAGGCCCAGGGTAGAGGTCAGAAGTAAGCGTCCTGCCGGGTCTCAGATGCTGAGGACCTCTCCTCACCATCCTGAGGGGCTGGGGGCCCGTCAGCCTTTCGACGCAGCGAAAGCTTCCTGCCTTGGGCTTTCTTCTCCTGCTTCTGCCGTTCCTTCTCCTGTTTCTGCTGTTCCTTCTCCTGCTCTTTTTCCCACTTCTGCCGCTCCTTCTCCTGTTTCTCCCGCTCTTTCTCCTGTTTCTGTCTCTCCTTCTCACGTTCCTTCTCCTGTTTCTGCCTCTCCTTTTCCTGCCTCCGGGTCTCCTTACTGGAACCCAGTGGGGTGCTGTTGCCAGTAGGCGAAGGAAGAGATGGATGCAGTCCCTCAGCAGTGACCACAGGCCCTGGAGCAGGCCCAGCACTAGCCCTGCGGGCAGGAGGGGGTGGAGAAGGGGCACCTCCAGCTGCCCGGGAACCTCGGCTCTTTAGACCAGGGAGGCTGAGGAGGCTGGAGGAGGGGCCCAAGGGTGGCTGCTGCCTCCGTCGCTCCTCATGGATGGCCCGGGAGCCATGTAGTCGCCGTGAGGGCCGATACTGCAGCTCCCCCCTAGTTTCCCGCCACTTCTTGAGCTGGGTGGCATTCTCCCGTTCGATCAGGGCCTCTGTCACTGGGAGGTTGGTCACCTGGACAGAGAAGAAATGGGTGCCAGAATGAAGATGCGGTGGGGTTGGGTTGAAGTAGGCATGGGTGTGCCACGGCCACGGCCTACCTCGTGCACCAGGAAGTCCTCCTGCATGCACTGTTGGGGCAGGTTACGCAGCTGCTCCATGGTTTCATACATGCCTTGACAGGCGCGCAGCTTCTCCACTGAGCCCAGTGTGTGCCGGAGCAGCACCAGGGCCACCCGGAAAATGATCTTGACACCTGCAGGATCAGAGAGAAGAGGGTTGTGGGGGATCTGGCCTGAGAGCTCAGCCTGCCCCATTTAGGAGGGTCTCAGCCCCACTCCGTCTACTAAGAATTCAAGAAGGGAAATGGGCAAGCACAGGTTTCAGGTTCACGAGAGGAAGCGCAGGCTCTGGGCTGGCGGCAGAGTCAAGACCCCATTTCCCCAGCCCCCAGATGGCTTCCGATGAAGCCTAAGTCCAACAAGTTCCTTCTATCAGTGGCCACTCTGGCAGCCACCATGGAAGGCCCTCTGGCCTGAATGACCACAGAATTACCTTCACAGAAGAACATGTCCCAGACACGCAGTACTGAAGCCCATGGCAGGGTGCGGGCGAAGATGCACATAAACCACTCTGTCATATAGAGCACGGGGTCGATGCGCTGCCTCCGCAGATGCCGATGTGCCAGCGGGGAGGCCCGGCGCAACAGCGCAAAAAAGATTTCTCCATCCAGTTGAATGGCCTCCTAGAGGTGGGATGAGCCAGGAAAATAGGCCTGCTGTGGCCTCTTTGGGGTAGAACTGGCCATGGTAGTAGATCCCCTGGTAGGGGATCCTCACCTCAGGGTAGAGGCCCAGAAGAGAGGGAAGGAAGGGCACAGGTGGGCCAGGACAAGGACTTCCTGCCATCTTTGGGGAAAGGTCACAGCCCCACTGCACCCAGCCTCTAGACACTTACCAACCCTGCACTGTAGTAACCAGGGAGGTACTTGTCGCAGATCTGCACCAGGCACCAGAAGGCTTGCTGAGAAGGGCAAGAACAAGCAGGGGGGCATGGGGCCTGAGAATGGAGCAGCGGGCTCCCACATCACCACTGCAGGCCAAGATCCTCCCAGTCCCTCCCTAGCCAGGACCATCGTGTGCTGACCTCAGCAGGCATGTGCATAAGCAGTACTGCAGCCACAGGAGCCTGGGCCTGGCAGTAACCCTCATCCGGCCGGTAGATAGTATAGGCCTTCAGGATTCGATACAGGTCCTGTTGCCTATGGATGTTGGGAAAGACCATGAGGACAGTCACCGTCTGGTTGAGAGCTCCCTGTCCCAAAGTAAAGCTGCTCTCCACCCCAAGCCCCAGACCAGATCCCTTCTAGATTCAGTTCCTGATTAATCTCACAGCTTTACTGCCACACACTTCATCTACCTGCCTAGTCCTGCCTATCATTAAGCCAAGGACTCAGGTCATTATTGAAGCATTCTGGGCTCCAGTCTTCCATGCCAGCTGCACTCCCCACTCCCCCCACAGACTGTGCTCTCTCCCTCCATCTGCCCCCATCCTATAAACCTTCAAAGCCATCTTTTCCAGAAAGCTTTCACTATCTATAGCATCAGCTCCCATCTTCAACTGTCCGAGTGCTTTTATCACCCCAGAGCAGGGGCCCTCTGAGGACAGGATCTGCCTTATCTGTTTCACTGGATTTCCTCAGAATGCGCCACCTCCCCACGGATGTCCAGTGGGCCCCGCCTCTTGGTGAAGGCCTAGAAAGCCAGCTGTGCCTGTGATCTTTCTCTTGTCTCTGAATCCAAAATAAAAATCTGTCTTAGACCTGTTCTACTTCCTTGAGGGTGCCTTGATGCTAATGGGAACTTTATCCACTCAGCCCCACACCAGAATAGCACTTTTCCTCACTCCCCATGGCTAAGAACCAAATACATCCTGACTTTTACTCATGTCTATTCCCTCTCTCCACCTTCCTACCTACTTTGCACCTCAGACCTTTATCTCTTAACCAGAAAAAAATACAGCTATAACCCTTCATCTGTGATTTGTTACCCAATGTCATAATGCAGTAAGATATTTTGAGAATGTATATTCCCAATACTTTTATTAACAATTTGGCTATAATTGTTCTAGCTTATTATTACTGTGCCTAATTTACAAATTAAAATTTACTACAGCTATGTCAGCTATGTAAGAAAAGGAAAAAGTATAGTTTATACAGGGTTCAGTGTTACTCACAGTTCAGGCATCCAGTGGGGGCTTTAGAATGGATCCCCCCAAACAAGGAGGAACTATTGTAATGCCTTCCCCGATCCTCACCCTCCTGTCACACATACTCCTAACCACCACTGACAATAGTGTTTCCCAAAATTCAGCCCGTGAAGGGTGGCCTTCATTTGTGCTTTACCTGCATACCAATGCTACTCTTATTTACTTAGACTTAGTATTTTTGCAATAGCCTCCATGAGATGACAGATTTGACATATTAGTTATTTTACCTAACATGTATTAAAGTAAATGTAACTCCCACAAGTCCCCACACCAACATTTATCCATCCGTCTGCTTCTGTGTCCCCGCCTTCTCTCTTCTGTGGGTGAAGTGTCTGATCCTAGCTAAAAAGTCCTTCCCCTCGGGCACTGGCTCCCATCCCCTCTCAGTGACACAGCTCACTCCAGCAACTTCCCATGTCTCCTGCCATCACATTTTCTCTCTCTACTAGATCAGTCCTATCAGCATACCAACATTTTGTTTTTTCTAGTTTAAAAATGTACCTTAACTGCACTTAACCTCCATTTCTCTTCTTATCTACTCAACAAAACTCCAGAATATAGACTCACTGTCTTCAATTTCTTTCCCCCATTCTCCAGAAAGGCTTTAACCCACTGTTCCACATAAAACTGCTTTTATCAGGGCTACCAATTATCTCCACACTGCTAAGGTCAGAAATCAATTTTCAGGTTTGACTTTACATGACCCATGAGCAGCATTTCATACAGCTGCTCCCTAAAACCCTCTTTACTTCCAGGGATCACACTCTTCTGGTTTTCCTTCTCTATCCAGCTTCTTTTAGTCTGTTATTTCTCATCTTCCAATATTGAAGCTTCAGGGTTCAAATTTTAACAACTTCCTTTCATACCTACATTTGCTGCCTTTATGACCTCCAGTCTCAGGGGTGAAAGCTAGTCCCATCTAGAGGTTAATAACCCCCAATTTCCAATTTCTCTCCAATTTAAAACTCTCTCCAAAATCCAGACTAAGTATATAGTTTATCCAACTTAACTGACATCTCCAGCTAGGTCCAAACTGAGCTTCAGATATACCCCAGAGGCTACTTCCCCCAAGTTTCCCCCATCTGTATCAATATACAGCAACTCCATTCTTCTGGTTTTTTCTTCTCTTTCTGTTACACTTAACATCTAATCCTTTGGCAGCCCCTTCTGGATTTAATTTCCAAATAGATACGCAGAATCCAGCCACTTCTCCTCTTAGTTCCACTGCTATCATTCTTGTTATCTAGTGTCACCTTTCTCCTGGATTATGAAAACAGTCTCCTAACTGGTCTCTCTGCTTCTGCCTTGTCTCCTTTTGATCTATTCCCAGCATAGCAGTCAGAATGATCCTATTAAAACACAAGTCAGGTCACTTGTAACTCCATATCCACCTACATCTCTATTCCCTTTCTTGTTTTAGGCTTTAATACTTCGGACCATTGCATATATAATATACTTCCTTCTTTATTTCATTATTATCTATCCCCACTAAAATATAGTAAGTCCTGCGAGGGCAAGAGTTTATCTTTTGTCCACTGCTGTCATCTATAACTAGAACATGCCTGGTAAAAAGCAGGTGCTCAATAAACACTTGTTGAAAGGATGAACTTATTCATAAAAAATGTTCATCCGTGAATCACCCAAGATCATCTTACATTCTACAAGGGAGCAGTATATCTACAGCTCGAGGAAATCTGGCATTTAGAAAAAGCCAATGCCTTGGCACACACAGCATTTATGGGCCCTTGGTGACCTGGCCCTGAACTGTTTTCCCAGCCTAGGCTCCACCCAACCCCACTGCATAAGCAGTTTATAACACCCCCACACACCCCCACCCCCGCCACCTGCCCAAAGCCAGGAAAAAAAATAACTCTTCCTGTGTTCCCATTACCCTTCAAAATCCAGCTCAAATCCACTTTAATGACCCCTCAATGTGCCTTCCCTTCCCACCTCTATCTTCCACCCTGAGTTAAACTCTTCCTCCCAGGATACTTCAATCCACTAAGAACCACTCTTTTAGAAATCCCAAATGAAAAGACTGCTTTTTATCAAGCCCTGTATCTGCCTGGAGCCTTCACTAATTGTCTGCTCACTGACCCACATGACCAGGGCCCCTTACCCATGCCCCCCTCGAGCAGCAAACATCTCATGGAAAGGGAACTGGCGGTGCAGGTCCTTCTCAATAACATCCAGCCACTTGGGGTCCCCAGGAGCTCGTTCCAGTTCCTACGGTGCGACAGCAGGGATAATCTCAGGATCTGGGGAAAGTGATGGTACCCTTCGCACAGTGTCACATGTCCCCACACCCTTGAGCTGCACGCACCTCAAACTTGCCCTGGTTCTGCTCCAAGAGTTCCTTGCTATTGGACAGGTACTGCCAGGCCTTGGCTCTAAGGGAAGAGGGGATGCCCTTCCGGCAGCGCAACTTCACCTATGGCAGAGTGGAAGGCAGGGAGACAGCTTCAGGGGCTGCATCGCCTCCAAGCTTCCCCAGCAGAGCTCAGATTCTGAGACGCCCTTCCCACACTCCATTGGCTTAACTCCATTGGACCTGGCTGGCCTATTTTTAAAGTTAGTTCTTCTTAAGGCCCAAGGCCCACCTACCTGCAAATGGTCCACAGAGCAGATACTATCAGGTTCCTGGACTTCCCCGGAGTTCCACTCTTCCCTCAGCCCCAACTCCCCACTCCCCAATCCACTGCTCTGCCCACCAATCAGCTTTTTCAAACCTTCTGGAAACGCCGTGACAGCCACTTATCCCAGTTACTAAACATCTCTAGCCACTTGAGCTCCCGCTGCCGAGCGACATCCACGGGAATGGAGCTTTCTCTGCAAGACGAAGGGGCATGGAAAGGGTCAGTTAGCAGTAATATAAAACCTGCGTTATGGGGAAACTGAGGCATGTCACCTCCCCAGGCTCAAATGAGAGACCTAAAAGGAATTTTGTGAAGGAAGTATGGCGACCTGGCCATTCCAAGCTATCGTTCTCCACTGTAAGGACTTCCTTTGGAAGAACTGTGTTCTTATTTTGGATCTTTCTGAACATAAAAATTATGTTTAAATCCCACTAAATACATACAACTTTGGGGTGGAAGTATGCAACATTTAAAAGCTCCTACTTTTTGTTCTACCAAAGATCCAAATTCTAGACTTACCACTTACTCATTATGTGACTTTCAGCAAGTCATTCAATTTCTCTAAGCCCCAGTTTTCTCATTTGTAAGATGGAGAGACAAACAATATCTCTCTGAAAGAGTTTATTGAGATGTTATATGAAATAATACATAGCAGGGGCTTAGTAAAAACTGATTATTAGTCATTAAACAAAACACAGAACAAATTTACTACTCTGTCTCCTTAGAAGCAACTATCTGTTTCTTCCAATCAGACTTGAGATTTCTTAGGCCATCTGCAATTTCCTCTACCACCTCCTCCCTAAATCACCCCAGACTTCCAAGCACATGAAGCTCTCCTTGCACTGTCTGTCCAGTTTTCTGTCAGAGCTTCACACTCAAGATACTCCATCAGTCTCAAAACCATTATTTATAGGAGACAGGTAAGTGTAATGGGAGAGTTCGGATTTCCAGACAGACCTGAGCTCAAATCTCAGTTCTGTCCCTTAGAAGTTGTAAAGTCTTGGCAAGTAATAACCTGAGTCTTTTCCTCATCTGTAAAAAATGTCACCTGCAGCACAAAGTTATGAGAGGATTATTGAGAAACTGTATAGAAAGGATTGTTTAACCGAAGTGTTCACTAATGCTTCTTTTGTCCTAGAAAATCACTGAACTGGAAGACCATCTCTCATTCATCTTTATTATAAGTAGGTTCCAAATTCCACTAAGGACTAAGAGTCGAATACCTTTCCTGTCCTCAAGATATTTACACACTAGCAGGACAGATAATTGCAGTAAGATGTGAGAAATGCAATGACAAGATGCACAGAGCACATTTAACCGGAGTAGCAGCAGTGAGTATCAAGGAAGAAAGGACATATGAGGCAGCCTATGAAGAACTCACAATTCAGCAGGAAAAGAAAGGGGAGGAGGGCATTGCTGGGCAGGGGGTACCGCCTGGGTTTAAAGCAGAGACTGCATTGTTTCAACAAGACCACGGGGCAAAGTGGTAAGAGAGAAGACCAGAGAAGCCAGTGAAGCTTACGTGCAGATAATAAGGAGCCTATGTGCAAGTTTAAAGGCCCAGGAACTGTCTCCTGTGGACGATGGGGAGCCATTAAGTGCTTTTAAGGTAATGGGTACCAAAGAAAGCCTTGTTTCAGTAGTAGTTTCCCCCAGCACAAAAGATGGGTTTTAGAGGGACAGAACTACAACCAATGCAACCCAAGTTCCTTAGGGCAGCAAGGTACTGAGGAGCAAGCCACTGGTCACACAGAAACAGATTATGTGAGTGGGGCAATTCATTCAGCTGCTCAAATCCTATTTCTTCATCTGTGAATTAGGTACAACAAATGCCTTCCTCCTGCATGGGAAAGCACTAGGGTCAAATTTCAGTCGCCCTCCCCTCAAAGGAATGTGAATATGGTGCTCAAAGGTTTTCTGATGTTTTGTCAGATTATAAACCTTCCCTACAACATCCTTCCACCAGGCTTCCCCCAGCGCCAGGAAGGTCTCCCAACACCGCAGTGATTAAACGCTACTCAGTATGATTTAGATCAGCTTCAGTGAATTCCCAGACGGGGCAAAACCCAGGTACTCACAAAACCCTGTGATGATCTCTAGGCTAAATCTAACATTGAAACCAACAGCCTAAATGTCTGTGTCTCCCTCTAGGTGACGAGTGCCTGGAAAACAGTTTTATCCTTAGTGCGCAGCACAAGCCTAGTATCAAGCAATGGTACAGGGAGAACTGACCAGCAGGTATGGGAACAATGGGCAGGATCTAGAGAGAAGGAAGGAAGAAGTCAGAGGTATCACACCCCCACCTCAGGAGTGACTCAGGCCCCTGGAGGGAACTAGGAAAGAGTAAGCTGGGCTGGGGAGATGAGGAAATGGGGAAGAGGCCTCCTCCACCCCCATTCCTTCAGTGAAAACAGAAGACAACCCTATCCTGCTTCACAGAAGGACCCTGCTTCACAGTCCCCCCATCATCCAGACTTTCCCTATCAGACAGAGGGCTATGGGGGAGGGGATCTGCACCCCTCCCAGACTCTCTTCCCCTAAGAAGCCAAAGCTCTCTACCAGAACCAGCCTCCAGAATGTTTGGGAGTTTCACATGAAGGAGTTGGGGCTACCCCAGGTGATTATCTCATTCGACCTTTGCTTCATAAAGGAGAAAACTGAGGCATGGGAATCGGGAAGGCACTAGCTCAAGGGCATGCAACACACCAAAAGCAAGGCTTAGCTCAAACCAAGAACTGACCCCTGCTCCGAAACTCTCGCGACACGCCACAGAAGCCTCAGGATGCTCTTGCCTGAGAGCAATCGCCAAGTAGCCACTCCCGCTGACAGCCCCCCCATCTTCCGAGTTTAGCTGCCAGAGTGTGGGCAAAACGCATCATTTCCCTCTCCCCCGACCTCTGCCTCCCTGAATCTGTCCCACTGGGTGCCCACGGGTACTCACAGACTGCCCGAATACTGGCTGCCCCCAAGGAAGCCATACTTGTCCGTCTTGCGCAAAGCCAGTCCATTTATCTCTGAGTCTGAGCCCATGGAGCTCACATCATCCGCCAAGGACTCCAAGGTCCCAGACATGAGGCTCACAGAGTCCAAGTAGCTCAGAGTGTCTGGGGCCTGCCCTCGAGGCCCAGAGATGCCAGGTCCCAAGCTGGACGTGGAGCCTAGGTCCTGTGAGTTTTCGGCAGGTTCAGGAGCGGGGGTCACAGTCACGACAGCTAGCAGAGGCTCACTTGTCCCTGGAGGGCCTGTACCAGGCCCTGAGGGGGCCTCTGGAGGCTGTTCTGCTGATGCTGAGGTTGCTGCTGCAGCTCCACGTTCACTTGTCATCTGTCCTGCTGTCATTGCTACAACCCGTGCAGTCACTCCTGAGGCCACTGTGGTTCCCGAGGCCACTGTGGTTCCCGGCTTGGGTGCGAGCGGGGGTTTGGCCGTCAGGGCCCCAGGAGCCCTTCTGGAAGGGGTTCTGGTAGGGGTCCCGGCGGGGGTACCTGGTCCAGGGGCGGATGAGATTCTAGCCTCCTCCATCTTCGGAGAGTCAGTCCCTGGGGCAGGAGTCATCGATGCCTCGGCTCCCACCACTGCCGCGGGCACCAGGGGCTCTGGGCCAGGGGAGACCTGCGCCGCAGGGGCTTCAGATGAGGCCTCCACAGTCGGCATCACCTCCGCGCTGCCCGGGGCCTCCGGGGCCGGGGCCGAGATCCGGGTCTGCCCGGGGACCCAGGTGGGCCGCGCCGCCCCGGGAGCCACGAGGTTGACCGGGGCCGAAGTGGCCGTGGTCACTGTCGGCCCCGGAGCCACCACCAAGAGGGACCCGGCCCGGGAGCCGCGGGGCGGCGGCGAGGGAGCC